GAGCAAGAGGTGTCCACCCTCCCAGCTTGCCTTTCCCACACAAAGGCTCCCCAGACAGAGCAGCCATGGGCCTGGCTAGCCACGCTCAGCCTGCCCTGCCCGCTTCTGGGAGGGTGGCTGGATGGGCTGGCAGTCAGGTCCCCTAGGGGAGGGGTGGGGAGCCGTAGGATCCAGACCATCGGGCCTCTCCCCGAGGGACCCAGATGCGTGTGGGTTGCTGGAGAGGGTTCGGAAAATCATTTGCCTTTAGTGGTAAAATGCGGAGAACTCTGAAGGCGATCCACCTCTATCTGGGGCCCAGGTTGAGGCTGGATGCTTTCCTGGGGTGATTTCCACTGGCTGCTTCTCCATTGGTGTGCTGTTTCACACTGCTTCTCAAACAATGGCTCTGGAGGGGAAGGGAGAGTGTGAGAAGGAGCTGTCAGGCCCGCGCCAAAATAGAGGCTTGGCCTGACCTCAGAGCCCGGCCTGACAGAGGGCCACTTCTGCACGACTTCCCCTTGGTCTCCAGAGTCAAAGCTGTTTAGTGGCAAAGTGTAATGTGGACACTTGCCTGGTGGACAGAGACAGAAACTCATTTTCCATCTGTCAAGCCGCCTGACACAGAGTTGGTAATGATTTTCTGTCAGGTGAGGCCTGTCTGGATTTGAACTCATGACCCAGAGGTAAAAGGCTGGATGTGGGTCCCTTACAATCACTGCCTGCCCCAGCCTCACTATGCCTACCTAGCTCATTGCATTTTCTCACGCTCTCTCCGCAGCCAGATACATTTTGGTTAGATCCTAATTTAGCATCTGGCTGAATGGTGTGTGTCCCTTTGTGAGGAGCATGTGTCCTAGGGAAGGAGAAATGGTTCAAGAAGGCAGGGAGCAGACAGAGACATGAATTCTTTGAGAATCCCTTGCAGGTGAATAAGTTCAATGACTCTCATCAACGAAGTCACGGGCTTCTCTCTACAAACTGTGTCTTGCAATCTACACCTATCTGTTCTCTAGAATCAAAGAAGCAACCTGCAGAAGAGAACTTAAGAACTTAGGTATTAATAAATACATTTGTGTGTGTGTGTGTGCGTGCGCGCGCGCCCATATTGGAGCTTGAATTCAGAGCCTGGCACTCTTGCTCCAACTGTCTGGCACTTAGTCGCTGTGAGCTGTGACTCCACTCATGGCTTTCTGTTGGTTCGTTGGAGGTGAGTTGGGTTTGTCTGCCTGGGCTGGCCTTGAGTCTGGGTCTTCAGATCTCAGCCTCTTGGGTCACCAGGATTACAGGTATGAGCTACCATCAGCACCCAGCAATCAACACTGAGTTTCTTCTTCTTGGTTCAATGTTCTGCTAGACATCAGGTTATAAAGAACAACCAAGTCAGGCCCACACTGAAATGAAGCTTTTAGAGGAGACAGGTGGCTAGATAATTGGATACAACCTGAGGGACATAGAAGAGAATAAACGCAGTAGACCGTCTCATGGTGGTGGGTATGGAGGGAGGGGCGTGGCCGGGGCGGGAGCAGGCGGAGTGTAGGCTTCGGGAGAGCATGCGCACTCAGTCTCATGGGGCGTGTGCTTTGCAAGACAGAAACCATGACAGCCATGTCCGGGATTGGTGTGAGGAAGACAGGGCTAGATCCTGTAGGCGACAGAGCTGGGTGGCTGGGCTGGCGAGGGGACGTCGTTAGGAGCATGGCACTGGCTGCAGGGGGGTGACGATCGGGCTGGACGTGGACGTGGGGCTGCGCGGGGAGAGCACTGGCTGCATGGCTGGGCCTGGGGGAGGAGGCCGCTGAGCGTTGACTCGGGGTCGGAGGCCGCTGAGGCCACTTGGACGGGGAGGACCGCAATGGAACCGGAAGTGAGCGCTCCAGGACAGCCAAGTGCGGGCTCCTTCTGGCTGGTTTACCACAGGAGGCTGGCAATAGGCAAATGGCCCCCAAATGCCCACTGGTGGGCAGGGAAGATCTGAGCCGGAATTCCTGGAAGTGCTGCACACCGGGGGCTTCTGAGGGGAGAGACGGGGTTTCTCAAATGACAGCTGTGCCTGGTGGAGCTGGAGGGGGGCAGTCCGGCCTGGACGCAGCTGGGGTGCAGAGCGCCAGCAGCTCGGCTGACAGTGCTCCACGGGGAGCCGCGGGACGCAGCGCAGCGCAGACGGAGCCAGAACCGTCCGACGCGCCAGACGCTCCAGCTCTGAGAACACGAGCACTTTCACGGACGGTGAGGTCCGGGCCGTGAGGAAGTCACGTAGTTGTTAGATCGGAGGGCTCCTCCGGTCCCGAGAGCCTGGGCTTGGATTCCAGGCCTACCCCGTGCAGAGCAGCGGGCCTGGGGCGCTGCACACCCCTCTGCCTCCCTTGGACAGTGCAGACTGCACATTTTGAGCATGAGTCCTGAGAGGCTGGAGGGACTGAGCGGGTAAGCAGCAGCGCGGGTCTGTTGCACAGCGTGGGAGCAGCACGCGCCCCCGAACACAGCTTTGGAGCCAGTGTGCTGGCGCTGGGCACCGGCCGGGGGAGGTGTTTCCATCCAGCAGGGGGCGGCGCTGCAAATCACATCTGTCTGCTGGGAAGCACCTCTCCTTGGGGTGTCTACGAGCCTCCTTTCGGCCCCCGTGCACAGAATTCCTCCCACTACTGCACAGCCGCCACCACCAGAACTTGTCTTATCTCTCGGTGCACGTTGAACCCTTTACTACATGATCTTGTAGACCAACAGCTCTACTATGAAGCAGATTCTTATTTAGCGTTCCTTTTGGAAGGGTGTGGGGTGGATTGTGGAGTGGGATGGGGTAAGGCAGATGTTTTAGGATTGCAAAAGCTGCCAATAACTTAAAAATGCTGCTGCTGATGCAGACAGTGCTGGTGGTGCTGATGGTGACGATACTGATAATGATGATGGTGGCTACAACTCAACAGTCACATCGCAGGTTCTCAGTTCTTGCCAGGCATTTTCCCGCAGCGCCTTTCCTTCGGAAGTCTCTTAGCCGTTCTGCCATTGGTTCTTTCTGAACGTTGTCTTCTCTTCGTGATGACCTCCTGACATCGGATTCTAGTAAAATGTGAAATTAAGCATCTCCTTTGCAGTCCTCCTCCTCAGAGCACCTGTCATTAAATTTGCTCTACTAGTGGTTAAAGTGTTTCCTCTTCTTAATTTTGTCCTTTGAATCAGCCACTTAGACGGCTGATACGCCCTTTCAGTGAGGCTGTGGACAGCGCCAGGCAGAGCGCCAGGCATCAAGAGCCTTTCCCAACTTGCTCATGCGTGTAGGGTCCTAGTTCATGTTACAAACACGCTACATAATAAAACCGTGGGTACGGCAAGAAGCAGGATGAACAGAACAGGTGAGGGTTTGGGGATCCAGGAAAGCTTCCTGGTTTCTGCCAGACTTCTAGATGAAAGAACATTCCTTAAGTCATAAAGAAGGAAAAGACAAGAACACACAATGGGGCATTCTGCACAAGGCAGCGCATTCAGCCAAGAAACACTGGGTTTGGAAAAGGCATGAACAAGGCTCATCTTTCGAACTGCTCACTTGCAAAATCCCAAGCACCTCCATTTTTGTCCCTCTTATGAATGTTCCCCCATTGGTTCTTCACCCTGACGCAGGAGTAAGCCCTCTGTCTCTAATGAAGAAGGGTTATTTCTGCATTGAGTATGGCGGTGTGATGGGGTACGGCAAGCTCACTGGGGAAGGGTATAGACTTTATACCTGTTTGGTCCACAGAGAAGAAAGTAGCAAGTGCTGGGAATTCATTGGCAATGGGGTGTAAATAAGCCACAGACTTGCTTGCAATCTCTCAACCAGCTCTTTGTTTAATCATAGAATTATTTTCATCTTCCATCCATCATCAAGAATCCACTTCATGACTTAGCCATCCTTCCGCAAACATTTGGTATTTAGCATAAACACTGAACATGAACCAGAGGTGTGTTAGTTTAAAACAGATAGGGAAGAATGTTCATAAAAATCCAGAAAAATTTAAGACTTAAAGAACATGTCATAAAGACCAACATTATCATCCCTTAAAAAATCAAATTTTATAATTGTAAAAAAAAACAGGTGGAAAAATGAGTAAACATAAATATCTGATGTATTTTTTGATAAATACATTTGAGAACACAAATACATAACACAGATATCTTGATAGTATATAAGCATAGTATTTTAAACTCTGCATGATTAAATCCCAAAAAGCATGAACTAAATCCCCATTTTATTGTATTTTTTTGTTCTTTATGAAAAAATAGGCTACATTATTTGTGTAAAAAAAGAAATAGCCATAAACATACCACTAAAGCCGTCAAAACTCACTATGGAAAGAAGATTATTGGCAAACACAACACACTTTTTTAAAGCAAAAGATAAAATGTTATTGTATCATTGTTTTCCATTGAATCTTATCCCATAGTTACACCTACTATAGGTGTTAGGCAATAGAGGTAGATAAGTTGAAGGGGAAATGAGCATTCAAATAGAAAAGGAGGAAGATTGTTTATGACAGCTCAGACAGACAGACATGTTTACCTCAAAACATCAAGAAGCTTAAAAGAACAATAGATAAAAGTCTTTCTGTGCTCCAGAGGTAATCATCAGAAATACCAGGCAAAATGACTGTCATTGCAGACACAATACTTCTTGCTAACAGTGTCCACCACAGCCTGTTTCGTACATTTTTGCATGGCAGGGAACTAGCCTTACTTAGAATGCTTGTGGAACTTCTGAAGTTCACAAGACCGAAATGAGTTATAAGTAACAAAAGACGAAAGCTGGAAGTAACAGTGATATAAATTTACACTACTGATAAGCTTGTTCAGCTGTGGAATAATGCATATATTTATATAGGTGCCAATCCTGGGGCTTGAACTCAGGGCCTGGGCGCTGTCCCTGAGATGTTATGGTCAAGGTTAGTGCTCTACCACTTGAGCCACAGCTCTACTTCTGGCTTTTTGGTGGTTCACTGGAGATAGGAGTCTCATGGACTCTCCTGCCCAAGCTGGCTTTAAAACAGCTGTCTGAGTAGCTAGGATTACAGGTGTGAGCCACCAGTGCCTAGCAGGAATGATTGTTGTTGTTGCTATTTGTGGGCAAAGCAACAGATCTATGCTGAGGATACAGCATGCCTCAGTGAGACCCAGGAGGCTAAGACTGTCTGTCAAATCACCAGAGGATGTGGAGACACAGAGTGACAGGATGGTGTGTGAACAGAAAAAACCTGTTTTTCTAACTCAACTGATTAGCCATTCTCAACCTGGGTCCAGTTAAAATTCTCCCAACCGCAGAAAAAGCACATAGGCAATGCTTCCTGGACGGACGATGTCCTGCTGGGGACGCAGCATAATTGACATTTTGGTTACTGAATGGTCTTGCATTTTCGGTGTCCATTTACCTGGCTAGACCGAGTGCGCATCTGTAACATCTGGTTGTGGCTATGACCTTTATCTTTCCACTGCTCCATGAGCAATGTGAGTTCACGTTTTAAAAGCGGTTGTGAACATTTGTCACCTCTGAGACGTTCTCCGGACACGCTGTCCCAGAGGCCCTAAGTGTGCAGAAGTCAAGGCTGTAACAGGTGGCTTCCCGCCCACAGGGGGGACACCGTGGCCAGGGGTTCCGCACATCTGTGACGCAGGAGAGGAATTCTGGCTTAGTTGTGGAATGTGAAAAGCATCTATCCTTCCTTGTTGCCGCCACAAACTGACTGGGACATTTTTCGAGCTCACATTTGGCCGTTAGGAGGTGCGTGCGTGTGCTGCAGATGGGAGGAAAGACGTTATGGGAGAAAGAGCGCAAAAAGCACTGAGATGCGATTAATAAACACCCCCCCCCCCAATCTGGTAGTTCACCTCAATATTTCACGAACTTCATTCATGACTCAAGCATCAGGCCTTTTCTTTGAAGCAGCTTATAATAAATTTAAGACATCACACCACAGTCTTGCATGATGGGACTGAAGAATTTCTGCGTGAAAACGACTTGAAGGAATGTCTAAAAAAAATGACTCAGTGAAGGCAGGCAGAGACGCCCCGTGCGTGTCGGCGTCTTCTTCCGTTTATGACCCCCGCTGAGTTGCCAGGGAGGAGGCTTGTCATAGTTGTAGGAAAAAAAAAATGAAGAGAATCACACAGTGAATCAAAGTGTGCGTGACTAAGACTTTGGAATTTTTCACTGTCATCAAAAAGGGCATTTTCCTGACGGCGTGACCTCATTTCAGACATGAGCGTAGCTCTCGCTGAGGAAGGCTGGCAATGCACGGCAGCTTTTCCTTCTTTCCTATGAGTGTTTTCTGCATTTAGGAAAAAAAAAAACTCCAAAATAGTCTACCACCACTGGCAGTAAACAACAGAGTATGTTTTGGAAGTAATGTTCTCATGGAGTTCATTTTTTTTTAAGGCACTTAAACAGGTATATAATTTTTTTGTCTGTAGAAAAATAAAATATGCATCAAAGCAACATTCACGAGTACGAATCTTCAGAATTGTGTCAACGTACAATCCTGTACATATATACACTGCTACAGAAAGTGGGCGTCTTCCCTACACCGTGGGCCTGGTCAGCTTCACTCCCTGCAAGAGAGGAAAACACGCCGTTCAGACTCGGAGAACACCCAGGAGCAAAGCAAACGCACCAGTTAACGCCAGATGACTCACACTGCTAGAGGGAAGAGGCGAGCCACTGCTATAGTCTCAGTCTGGAAAGAGCCCCAAAGTTCCACGCGTTAAAGGCCCAGCTGCAGCTTGGCGCTACTGGGAGGCGGTGGGGCCTTTAAGGGGTGGGAGGCCTTAAGGTCTTTGCTGGTGTCCTTGAAGAGGACTGTTCCCCTCTTTCTCTTTTTGTGCCTCCCAGACAGGAGATAAGTGGTTTTGCTTCCACTATGAGGTGCCAGGCCCACAGAGGACCAAAAGCAACAGGGCCAACTGATCAGGAACTGAAACTTCAAAACCTAGGAGCCAAGGCAAACCTCTCTCCTCTCTATATGCTATCTTGGGCATCTGCTGTAGTAAGCTGACTCAGATGCACTATATAACCTGAATCACTGGCCAGGTGTCAACCCCCTCCCCACCCCACCCCATGGCCTGGCCTGGCCAGTTGCACAGTTCTGCCTGGCACGGGGCGGTGGCCCCTTGGTCTCATTACTTGTATCTGCAGAGAGGGAGAGAGACTCCGGGATACACTCAGCATGGACTCCACATGTTTATGTCCAACTTAGTCTCCCCTTTCAGAAATGCCTATTGCTCTGTAGAATAAATCCTGGAGTTTGAGATGTGTAGAAGAACTTACTCTAATTTCCTGTTTCCTATGCTGCATGTTGCCGATAAGAGTGTTAGGATTTCAAACCACTTTATTCATTCATTGCTGAAATTTGTGTATATAAGTTTTGAGCAGCCATGCAATGTACGTGGATATTTAAATATAAGCATGGATATAAAAGCACACAAGATGAATAGCAAAAGACAGAAGAAGATACTAAGCTAACTCTTCTCCGTGTTAGCTTTGGGTAGGAGGGCAGGAGCCCGGAGCAGCACCTCATGTAGAACCTTTGCTACTTTAATTATGTATTTATTTAATTGTATTATTATTTTAATAATTATTATTTTATTTTTGTTTCAGTCCTGGGGTTTGAACTGAGGGCCTGGGTACTTTTTTTTTTTTTCTCTACCATGTGAGCCAAAGCTCCACTTATGGTTGTTTTGGTAGTTTATTGGAGATCAGAGCCTCATGGACTTTCCTGCCTAAGCTGGTGTCAAACCTCCATCCTCAGATCTCAGCTTCTTGAAAAACTAAGATTGTAGGTGAGCCTCCAGCACCTGGCCCACATCTTTTAATTTTTAATTCCCTGATAGTTTTGCCATACAAAGAAGTATTATGTGTCTGAGAAACTGAACATAAAGTTAGAATTCTAGATATATCCAAGCTCTACAATCTTCAGAAGGGCCTAGGAAATCAGAACACAGAGGAAAGATTGGCTTCATCTTGAATACACAGTTGAATATGCAAGAACGTGGTCATATTTAAGTACCTCATGCAATACACCTTTCAATATGAGTGCATTAAAAGGATTTAACACTCCATTTTAGGTGCACTTGTCTTTCATAAGAATTTAAAACATTTAGTACTCAGTTTTTCTGTTCTAATTGAATGGACCAATACACCCTGATTTTTGTATTTAGTTAAGAAAATAGGTACTTGAGAGCAACCGTCAGCTAACTAGAGCCGAACTGAATGAAGAATCTGGATCCATCTAAGTCCTTTCTAGTCTCACCTTCTGCCGTGATATCATCCAAGACTTGATTGTTGGCACGAGCACGCTTCCCAGGAGGATCTGGGCTGGATGGTAGATGAGCAGAGGCACAGAGATCAAGGAGAGATGCTCATGGCCTGCAAATACGATCTTCAGCATTGGAATTCCTGTCAAACAAAGACAGAACACCTAGGGGCCAATTCACCAGATGAAAGACATGCCCCAGTGAAACCAGAACTCTGGAATAAGGATTGTGTTTCCTTGTGTGAATTCATAGACCTTGAGGGACTCAGATGAGTCACAAACCTTCCTACCTCCCTTCCACTCCCTGACGCTCAGAGCTCTCACTGGAACAGAGGAGGTGGCTGGCCTGGAGTCACCACAGATTACCACCTGGCCCATACTAGGGAAGAGGAAAGACTGTCATGGGGTTTCTTTAAGAAGGCTGGGAAATGTGGCAAATGGAGGTGAAAAACGGATCTCTTCCTGCTCAGTCAAGACAGTCTGTTGGTTTGTAGGGACGCCAATCTGGAGTCAGGTCAAAGGTGTGCAGCTCATTATTTGACGTTGAAAGGATGCATGAGCATAATTATATGGTATGCTGTTGGCTGAATGAAAGTTCTGCATGTTCCCCCGCTGTCTTTCCCTCCCTCCTTCACTTTCTCTGTTTTCCCCCTTTCCTTTCTTTCTCCCTCCCCCCCTCCTCTTTCCCTTCAAACTCCTTTCCCTCCTCCCCCTTCTATCAGTCCATCCATCCATCTATCCACCCATCCATCCATTGAGCGTTCTTTCTCTCTCTCTCTCCTGGGATTGAAGCCACAACCTCACCCGTGCTAACAAGCACACACTCTACCACCAAGCCACCCTCTGCATGTTCCTTTTTGTAGCCAAGGATCCCAAAGTGCTTTATCAGCACCAAGCAAACCTCAAACAACTCTAGTAACTGAATGTCAAGTCAGTGCTGGACACTTCCACCGCACAGCATGAGTCTTAACAAGGAACACGTGGGGAAACCCACACACTTCCACCACTACCGGCATGGAGCAGGTGTGCAGTTCGCTTGGTGGTACACTTACTAAGCAGCTGTAATGCAGCAGACTTTCTGAGCTTCTACAGCTAACACAATTCAGACACCAGCCGTTTAACAGTTATTACCAATTGTTTTAATATAGCTACACTCTTCAGAATTGCAGTGTACATATGTCAGCTTTTTCAACTAAGAGCCGTAGGAGCTCAGCTCTCCTCCTCCTCCTCCTCCTTCCTTTCCTCCCTCCCTCCTGTCCTTCTTTTCTCCTTTTTTTCTTCTTTCTTCTGGCCTCTGAGGAGGACCCAAATTCCTTGGCATGCCAGATGACGGCGCAGAAATAACTTTAAAAAATAACACAGCAAACAAGACTCAGCCTTTTCAATTACTGTTACCATTGAACACATGTCAAACCTTTATGCAAAATGTAGTTCCTGGCTACTTGCTTTTCAGTCTCCCATATCATCTCTATCTCTATATATTCTTGAGGTTTTGCCTGAATCTGGCTTCACCATGATCCTCCTACCTCTGCAGCCTATGTAGCCTGGATGGCAGGTATGTGTCGCTGTGCCCGGCTTGTTTGTTGAGACAGGAAATTATTGTGCACAGGCTGACATCAAACCATGATTCTCCTAGCTCTGCATTCCAGACAGCTGGGATTAAGGTGGGTGTGCACTGCGCTGGGCCTCCTCCATGTCCTGTGGTCTCTGCTTTCCGGCTGCTTCACCTGGGAAGCAGTCCTGAAGTCTCGAGGCTTGCCTGTCAGGTCTTTCCATGGCATGCAGACCCACGCCAGCCTTGCGGCACTGCCAAGGTGCGAGCTCCTTGGGTTGGAAGCCTTCCTCGCCCTCCAGCAGACAGCAGGTGCTCGGAGGGGCGGGATGAGTGAGTGGATCTGTGTCACATTTTTCCCCCAGATTCCATCATGAAGTTACTATGGAGACTATCGTGCCATTTTTTTTTTAAAAACTTAACATTTGTTAATTCAAGAAAAAGTAATAGCAATAATTTAAAAACCCCAACAAACTTCCTAGAGTTTTCTTCATAAAGTAAAATTGAAATGTAGGATTCTTTTCATCTTGCCATCACTGAAGTAATATAAATGAAGCAAATTAATTTTAATGCTCCCAGGTACTGAGTGTGTCACCATGCTTGACAGGATTCAACGAGACTTTATGAGATGGCATTTGACTTTATGGAAGTGAACACTATGCGCGCATTTACAATTTTACAGGGACTTTAAGCTGTCATGCTGAAAAATGTTTATAAAACATTAATCAAAAAATGCCTCTTTAATACAATGCATTGTCTGAGAGATGTTAGAAGGCGCAGATTGTAAATGGATTCTTTTTCTGACTAAAGTAATTTCCACCAAAAGCATTCCCCCTTGCTCTACAAGAACACTGTGTGGATAGATGAAGAGCACTTTCTCTGCACATCACTACCTCATCCGAACACTTGGGAAATCACTAATGTACAGCAAGCCATATTTCCATGTCACACATGACACATTCGTCTAAAATTACCCAACAGAGTTTGACATCGCGGCATATTCCATAAGCACAGCTTTCAACTGACATCTGCCAAGTAGGAGCTTCACGTAAGGGCTTTCTTCTACTAACAAGCAGGCAGGGCTCTGCTTTTATCCTATGCCCAGGATGGGAGGGATAAAACAATACGGACCAAGACGAGAGCTGCCAGCCGCCCCCCCCGCCGCCCCCCCAGAACCCCCTCCATTTAAATATGTTTATTTTATGTCCTCGGAATTCCCTTCGTATCAGTGTTCAAAAGTTTCAGGAATTGCTACTTTCTGTTGGATGGACACAGTTCTTTATTTTGAGAAACAGACATTATTTTCTCTCCAGATTAAATATGGGCTTTTGCTGACCCTTCATTGACGGCTGCTCTGCTGTTCTCAATATAATAATTATCCACTTTAGATCACTGCTCAGAGCTCCCTTACGGTACCTACAGGTGCACCACGGGGATTCCGGCCCCTCATTCATTCAGCTATTCATAAAGCTTACTGAGCTTCTTCCATCTGTCAGTTGTTGATCTAGCTGCTCGAGATATAAGGAGAAAAGCAGTCCAGGCCCCCGGGCTCGGGGTGCTGTGTTCTGGTAGCTCTTGTCTGAGCACACCAGAAACGTCTGCTGCACACGTGGCCTGTCCAGTCTCAAAGTATGAGAACATCTCGGACAAACCCTGCTGTGTGTGCCCTTAGATGAAGTCACCATGCTCTATCTGGTCTCCCTTTCTTTGCCTTTCTCTCTCATACTCAGTTTTCACCGTCATCTTCTTAATGTGATTCCTCATAAAACCAAGCCAAGATCCTGCATCCAGCCTCCGAGGTAACGCCCTGTCTTCAGACTCTTCCCCTCATCAATCCTACTAACCACAGCCAGATTCATCTTCTCCAGCCCCACATTAATTAAAGCCACTGCCCTGCCCAAGAGCAGCAATGACTTTCTAGGAACCATTCATCAAATCCTCCACCTACTCAAACTTTGGGTAAAAAAAAAAAAAAAAAAAAAGACAACTGTCACCATTCCATTGTGTAAGTGCTACTGCATGCTACACACTTAGTCGACATGATCCCAATCCTTACCAACAGCTTCGGAAGTGGTTTAGAGATGACAGAGACTGAGGTGTAGGGTGGGTGATGAACCTGAGTAACTCACGTGTGGTGGGTTGTGGCTGAGCACTGGACCTACTACAGCTGCTTTTACTCACCAGCCAAACTGCAAGGGTCCATTGCTGCCCTGCCTCAGGCCTGGCAGTCTAGAACAGCCCGGCCCCGCCTGGAGCTCCTCCTTTCTCCACGAGTCTATGCCTACCAGATGGATCATCAAGGCCCACTTTTATATCTTTCTCCACCATGAAGGTGGCCCTAGTTCTTACTGATTTGTCTTTTGAAGGATGAAGAAATTCTTCTCATGTACTTCATGTACCTTAAATCCTTGATTTATGTCACTGTTATTTGCTTTAGTGTAGGCTTTAGTTCCCCTGAAGGTCTGTAGCATTTAAGCATACGGCTGGTGCACAATACAGAAATGACTGATGATAGAAGAATAAGTGTTAAGGTTTCCTGTGTTGAGACAGAATATTTAGAACAAATACCAATTTCACTGGACTTGAGAGAGAAGGTATTCCTACGCACCCCTCTGGGAGATGAATATATTACATAGGAAAAATATATTTGATATGGCAGAAAGGAAAAAAATTACATTGATCATGAACACAAAATCTGAAATAAGTATTAGAGTATGGAGTTAACTGTTGAGGAAATAGGTATGGCTCTGGGAGTCTAATATTACCCCGACTTTCCCCACTTAGCTAAGAGTCGATATACCCTCCAATCACCTGGATCATTTCCTGTCTTTCAAAAACTCATTCGCCTGAATTCACATGACTTGTTTTCCATTTAAACGCGTTCTCCTGGTCTCACTGAGTTCTGGAGGGAGCTGCGGTAAATCTGGCATCCAGTTGCTTCTCTCTTCAGTTGTCATGGTGACTTTCCACTTTTGTTTAGTCTGTTCTTCGTTAGAAACATCCATAAGTTTACCACCCAAATGTCCTACCCACGGCTATTTGAATTCCGTCTCTTCCTTCTCAGTGAATCCCTCAGAAAAGCCAGTGTTTGCTTTGGAAGCTTATCACGGTAGACAGTCTCTTCAAGTGAAATTCAAGCCAGTCGGTGTTTAAGGATCACAGTTATTCTTTCAGACACGGCTAAACACTGATTTCTGTGACCCCCCTTACCCACCACACATAGCCATGTGCACAAACCCCTTCTTCCCCACTCTCTGCAGAGACAGTATAGTCATAGAAAGCCAAACTCAGTGGCACTAATTTATCTCAAAGACTAAATACACAAAGGGGCAATTCTATGCAGTTTCTAGAGCATGAAATGTGCCATGATAAAGTACAACCATGATTTTGGAAATTGGTTAGAATGGGCTTTTGATTTATCCTAAAGCAAGCTAATTTTCAGTAACAAGAGATTGTTTCATGCAAGGATTTATTGTTTATTGCATCAGTGACCTACATAGGCTGAACCATGGAGTGTGAAGAACCTGGGAGAGAGCCTGGACTATAATCCCAGGAGGCTGAGATCTGAGGACTATGGTTTGAGGCTGGCTC